GCGTTCGTCATACTTCTAAAAAAATGAAAATAAACAGTTTTATACATCAATTTAACACTGAACTAACAAATGCAATAAACTAACAATGCAGATTCTCACACAACTGAAACACATTTGCTCTGATGGAGGTTGCAGGTAAAACCCTCAGTAGCAGCTACAGCTTCAAGATGGGCATCATTTAGTAAGCCTATTTGCTTCCAAAAAGGCATACCAACTGACTGAACACCTTGGACAGTGGAAGCTTTAACTTTATCATGTTACTGATCATGTAACGTGATAAAGGAAGTTTTTCCTTGCCTCTGTCACCTAGTGCTTGCTCTTGGTGGGAATTGTTGGGCTTCTACTGTATAAATAACATCACAGAGTACGTTCTAGACCTGCTCTTTTATGAAAAGCGCTATGAGATAACTGTTATTGTGATTTGGCGCTATATAAGTAAAACTGAATTGAAATTGAATTGATAACTAGCTGATCCGCTCCGCCACCGTGTTTGCCGATATTGTTAAACTCACTCTTTTTTTCTGTACATAAAATATCCGCAACTTTAAACACACAGTCCTTCAAACTGGCCTTAATTGGTGATTAATTCACTCACCACATAACTTGCTTCAACTGCAGTTTCAGCATCCTTCTTGGCTTTAAAGACTTTGAAGTTATATAAATCCTCTCTGTATCTGCGTGGCTGTCTCCTCGGTAGCCTACGTCTCGTTGCTCTCTGTGTTTAGTCCATTAATGACGCTTGATATTTTATTCCTTTAAAATGGTAACTTTTTCGTTGCATATCAGGCAGGTAGATTTTCTATTAATCTCAACAAAATTAGCCTATTGCTTTGTCCATCTTTCTTGAAACCGCCTGTGTTTATCATCCACCTTCAGCATAACACCGTTTCAATACATCTTTCTTCTTCAGCCAATGGCAGCCGTTTGAGGCCACCTTACCTTTGCCATGACAAATGGAATCTGAATGTCTCTTCTTGGAAGGAAGAAAACTGACTGTTGTTCAGCTAACAAAGATGTAATTTTATTAGGTTGTGATGACCAGTACAGCTTTGCATTAAAGGATATAATCTGTTTGCGATTGAGATCGAGGACATGTTTCCACTTTAATACGCATTTGGCTCAGACTGCTCTAATGAGTTGCCTATAGGCTGCTGATTGACTCCTCTTTATTCAGGTCCTGCATCCAACAAACGTGCATGTGGGTAGCTACCTGCAGAAATATCTTGAGATGGCTGTGCAACTGTCATAGACATAATAGTAATAATAATAATAATATTCTGGCTTTTGTTTGATTTCATTCCATCTGATTTACATTGTACAGCACTCGACACCCGAGAGCCCCACCAAATGTCATAACACATTTACTTTAGCCATTGATGAAGCTATTTCAGTCTCCAAGTTAAGCAGCTCCTTCCTTTTCCTGAGCTGCTCCTCTTGCTCCTCCATGTTTGCCTCAGCTTTAATACGTGCTGACGAGGCAGTTGAGACAGTAGACTTACTTCCTGTTGAACTTGTTTTCTTTGATATTCTGCTGGCAACTTTAGAAACACTATCACTAGGTTTAACCCGAATCAAATTCAAGTCACAAATGCTGCATACAGAGCTACCACTGGGTCTGCACCATCTACCTGAACTCCACAATACAAGCCTCCGTTCCTTCTGGGCCACTGCACACATCCAACGAACGTCACCTGGCTCTGCCATCCCTACACACAAAGCAATCTCAGTCGCAGCTGTTCTCATCTGTGACGCCATTATGGTGAAACGAGCTACCCTCAGAGCAGGAGCGTTCCTCTCTAACTTCAAGAAGCTCTTGAAAACTCATCTCTTGCGTGAACACTTTTTCTTATTACACCTCTAGCCCCTAACCTCTAACATGCACTTCCTGTGCTCTTCTTCTGTGTCTTTTCTTAATTATCTTGTATTGATTGCACTTTTTTTGTTAACTCTTACATTCTTCCCTAGGTATTTACCCCACTGATGCCATTCGTGCTATTAGCTCTTACTAGCATTTATTGCTGCCTTTACTAGTATTGTCAATTGTAGATCTCGTGCTGTATTGATGCTTTTATGGTGTTCCTCAAAAGTAAGTCGCTTTGGATAAAAGCGTCTGCCAAATGAGTAAATGTTATCATCTACAGCAGCAGCATTTTCCACACTCTTCTGAGAATGCTGCAGGACAAACTAGGATTGAGCGATGTTCCGAATTTAAATGCACGATGTGAACATTGAAACATCGGGATGGATGATGGCGGTCGTCTTAGTTGCATGTGTTCAGAATTCACTCTTAAAAGCTTGGTAGCCTATGATGTTACAAGTCGCGGTGGACAAATGATATTATGGATGACTGTCGATAAAGGAAAAACAGCCGCAGTAGTCTAAACACAGGAGAAAACTTGATGACGAGCACACAATGATACATTTCCAACACACTGTTTAACCCATTTATCTTCAATTTCACAGCAATGCATAATGGTTCCACTTAACTGTTTTTTTTCATACATCCATGCAAAGAAAACGCAACGGCACCAGATGACACAAATGCAGCATTCTAGATAAAAATGCGGTGAACAGAAAATTTCACTCCCGAGCTCACCCTACCCCCGTAATCACTCAAGCCAAGAGAGGTGAACAGGTGAGTGCACCTACTTCTAACTGCGTCCTACACACCCACCACCCAAGTGCCAATCAGGGTTCGAGTTACGTGGGAGCCAGTGGGAGCTCAGTTCCCATAAGGATGGTCTGAGCTCCCATGGAAGCAGTAAAATCATGCATCTGTGGGGGTCACTAATTCATTTATCAACAACCATTATTTTGAATCACAAATAATGTATTTTTCCATTGAATTAATACGTACTATTATTTACATTAAACAAGATAAACAGACTTAAATGAACACACTTCCCTAATGAACTACGCTGCGTATCGCATAACTGGCAGGATGGCTGCTCTTCTCCACCATCAGCCACTATCGTCCGCACAGTTTTGACCAAACAGGCTGAGGCCGCGACCCGCGAAAATTAACTTGTTGTATTGTAGCCTACTGTATAAGGCTACTCTGTATTGACTTCAGCTTATTTGTTTAGTATTATTGGCTTTTTGATGCATCCTCCAATTAGTACAGTGCTACAAATGATAATATGCTTGCTACTGTGTGCCAGTGACAAGCAGTGAATAAAATAATAACACTTTAATATTACCATAAAGGGCGGAATTGTGTTTTCTCTTTGAGCAATAGTTTTTGATGTTTTTTTTCAGGCTATTAAAACTTAACGGATTGCCTAGTGTGAGTAGACCTACACCTTGTTGCAATATCACAGACATCTGGGGCAAGTAGTGGACTGCTGTGTGTGTTTGTGCGTTGGCGTGTGTGTGAGAGGGAAATATTGAATGGTGTAATAAGCAATGAGCTTTCTCTCTCTCTCTACCCCCACCCCGCCGGTAACGTTAGGTAGTAGCCTATATTAGAGACCCCCACAAAGCTCAGATTATAACTCGAACACTGGCAATGAAGTGTGCAAATACAAATCAACGACATTAAGATGCAAAAACTGCAGCGTTAAAGAGGTGACGTCACTACGTCTTTATTGAAGTAGCAGCACACGGTCATTAATGTTAATGAGAGCTCCTTTTACCTTTTTGTATTTTACAGTTTTGGGTTCAAGTGTTTGGAGTTTCCATTTTCTAAACTTCTACATTCTAAACCTTCTTCAGCTCTGAACAGATTATTTAACACGGAATGATTTCAAACAGGAACATTGTCTTGTCTAAAGTTACATCATTTATTATTTTTTCAGATTGGAGGGCTGCAGTTTGTCAGAGATCAGCTGTGCTTCTCTGGCCTCAGCTCTGAAGTCCAACCCCTCCCATCTGAGAGAGCTGGACCTGAGTAACAACAAGCTGCAGGATTCAGGAGTGAAGCTGCTGTCTGATCTGAAGGAGAGTCCACACTGCAGACTGGAGACTCTGAGGTCAGTAGAGGGTTGGAGTCAGTCCATGCTGGTTTCAGCAGTATTGTACTAAACACAGTTAGTATCAAAGCAGAGATCCAGTATTTCCTGTAAACCTCCAACCTTCTCAGCGGCTGCTTTCCTCAGTGAAGCTGTGAGAGGAGAATGGTGACAGGCTTCAGGATTGGACAGAAAGACAGAGAGAGAGAGAGAACAGGCAGTGATCATGTGTTTGAGTTGATGTGAAGACGACTGTTGTTGTTGTGTTCATGTCTCCAGGAAATAAAGCTGGATTCCAGCTGACAGCATCACAAGATGTATAGAGACAGTGGTCCTCATTCATCAAACTGTCGGACCATCAAATCTGATCTCAGAGTGTTTGTTCTCTCATTTCAACACAGCTCTGTGGGGCGGCTGTGGCTCAGGAGGTAGAGCGGGTTGGCCGTTAATCGGAAGGTCGGCGGTTCAATCCCTGGCTCCCCCTGGTTGCGTGTCGAAGTGTCCTTGGCTGTTCTGCCAGTGTATGAATGAGTGTGAATGCTAGTTTCCGATGAAATGTATGAATGTGTTTGACTGGTGAATGCAGATGTAGTGTAAAAGCGCTTTGAGTGGTCGAAAAGACTAGAAAGGCGCTATACAAGTACGGAGCATTTACTCTGTAAACTCTGATTTATGACTTCTGCTGTCTTCTTCTCTCATCAGCTGGTGATCTCTGTGTGAGGGATCAGAAAGGTGGAGGTGTTGAGAGAGGATCAGCTGTGTCCTGATGATCCAGAGAGGTTGAAGCAGCAGCATCAGCTTGTGTGTGGAGAGGCTCTGACTGGGCCATGTTACTGGGAGGTAGAGTGGAGAGGAGAGCTTCATCCAGCAGTGACTGACAGAGGAATCCCAACAGTGCTGCAGTCTGAACTGCTCTGAGATCAGCTCCACTGTCAGACACAAAGTCAAGTCCACCATCCTCCCTGTGTGTTCCTCTGGATGTGACAGAGTATCATCAGTGGATCTGAACTGCTCTGCTGCTGCTCTGTCCTTCTACACAGTCTCTGCAGACACACTGAGACTCCTCCACTCCTTCTGCTCCACACTCAGCCACCTCCTCCACCTGGACCTGGACCTCCACCTGGACCTGATTCTGCCTGTTTTTAATTCGTTCAGATGTTCTGAACCCAAAGAGCCTCTGCAGATTAGTTCTGTTCCTGACAACAGAACTGCAGATTAACACTTATTTAAATTGACTTTTGTGCTTTGCTTCCTGTTGCAGCTCCACCTTGTGGATTAATAGACTTGCAATTCATTTCCACATTATATTTCACATATTTTAAAAACTCAAAAAAACAAACAAAAAATGGCTGATAAATATATAAATGAACAAAGAAAATATACTAATCCAACAATCTTGAATAATATATATATATATATATATAAACATTATTTGTTAACAATGTGCTGGAAAATGGATTTGTGTGATAAGGTTTAGTACCTAATTTGCATATTAAATCAGTTTGTTTTTACCTTTAAACAAGTTAAAAACTTGAACGTCCACTGCAGTGGACAGATGGATTTTTAGTCAAGAAACATAATTTAAATCTGGATAAAAGTTTTTTCTAACATCCTGTTTAGTTGGAAATTAGTTTTTTAGTTTTCTGAGAATAAAAGGATTTCACAGTTATTGCTGAGGTGATTGGTGAATCTCCACTTCCCTCCCCTGTTTTGAATTTCTGAGGCAGTAAATCAAAATGACAGATGTAAAATGTGACATCGTATGTGATGTGACATGGGGCTACAACTTAAATGGCTTCCAAATATCTGTCCTCTGTAGTGGACGTCATGCATGAAAGGGATAAAACATCAAAAACATAAAGAATTGTAATTCAAAAAAAGCTTCTCTTCCAGTTTCCTTTCAGCTTGTAAAGTTTCATTGTGATGTGAGTAAAGTTAGTTTGACTGTGGCGTCTCACCTGAACAGGTGAAGGTGTGTTCAGGTGTTTTCAGGTTGCTTCTGCTGACAACAAGTGATCAAATGAATTATTGCTTCTTTAAAGGAGCAAATTCAGCCTTTTACCCCATAAAGTCTCACTTTCAGTCAGAATTCCACCTTAAACTGAACACAGGAGGTTTAAGGTGGTTTTAAGATATGAACTGAACTAAAACAGACTCAGTGTGTTTATCATTATATATTCCACAAACTCCCCCCACAGATAGTGATGCACAGACTTTTTAGACTTGTTCTTATTTGGCCTTTTTTAAACTTTACTTCTTCTCTCAGTTTATACCCACCCTGCCTTTCATTCAACAGGTTTTGTAGATGAGTATTTGCTTTGAACATGATTTGTGTGATTTGAGGGTTTGTTTGATACTTTCCATATGTCATTGAGTTAAATGATGAAAAGCTTTGGACCTGAGACAGATCCCTGCGCTACACCACACTTTATGTTCATGTGTGTAGATTTGTGTTCAGCAGTTTCTGAAGCAGCTGCTCAGCCAGTCCAACCCAACCCCTCTGATACCATCCCTCTCTAGTTTATGGAATAAAATGTCATGATTTATGGGCTCAGATGCTTTCTTTAAAGCGTTGAAAATTCCCACTACATGTTTCTTCTTGTCTGTGTACTCTGATTTCCTCAGTTAGCTCCATTAGTGCCAAAGATGTTGATCTGTCCAGAATCCGGATTGACTGTCAACTAGAAGCTCGTGTGTTTCCATGAAACTGTCAAGTCTTTCTGTAAAAAGCTTTTCCAGGATTTTGGAGAATTGGGGGAGAAACAGAAACAGGCCTGTAATTTGTGAAATGGTGTCTGTCCCCAGTTTTATATAATGCTATTACTTTAGCTGGTTTCATTTGATTTGGAAATTCACCGGATTGAAAAGACGAGTTTCAGATATGAGTAAATGGTTCTTCAACTTCTTCACTAACTTTTTTATTATAATCATCTCAGTGTTATTCCAATCCATGGAGGATTTGGTTTCACACTGTCTTCCAGTGTCTATTATCTCGTTTCTTTCCACTGCTCTAAAGAAAACAGAGCTAGGATTTCTATCCCAAAGATCAGCCTCCACCCTTCTGTTGTTTCTGGATACTTTATTATTTCTTCCAGATCTGCTCCCACATTTACCAAGAATTTTGTTACATGTGGTGTGGGGACAGAGAGGACCCAACTGCAACGCTCAGAGGGAAGGAGGTTTATTGAGGGGAAAAAAGGGTAGAGGGACTTGAGTGGAGGGAGAAAAAGTCGTCCCTGCCGCCCCGGACACAAACTGTTTCAGTCCCTCCCCTCGGGCAGGAGGCTGCGCTCCATTAGGACCAGAAACTCACTCATAAACCTGATTGTGAAAAACCAGGGATCTGGACCCAAACACAGGACACGTAGGCAGAACAGCTACAGGTTACGGTGTTTAATATCAACAGTTGAAATCTGGTGAGGCAGGCAGTCCATAAGGCAATAAATCCAAGAGTCCACAATCCAACATGAAAACAATAATCCAGGAACAGGAGACAGGCGAAAAGCAAAACACAAAATCCACAATAAATCATCCACAGGTACAGGAGACCTGCAGAGACGCTCGACCAAGAAGGAAAAAGACAAAGCAGACCGAGAACGAAGACGCACACAGTGACAATATCTAAAGACAAGAGCGGTGATTAAGGAGACACAGGTGAAACCAAGTGATGAGGAGCAAACAATCACACAAGCAGGAAAACACAAGTGAAGCCAACACAGACACAAGAGGAAGGGGAGAACAAAATAAAGCTGGAAATAACAATCATTCAACACAAAAGCCAAAACCAGGACAAGAAGTCTGGAACATTTAGTTCATTTAGTTTAAAGCACTTTAGTTGGAACTGAAACAAAACAGATTATTTCCATCATTTAAAGTTCCAAAGTAAAAACAGGAAACAGCTGGCAGCAGGGTTATTATGTTCCTGTAAAATGAACTTTCTTTACTGTCACTAAGGTTTACAGTATTGTACTGTTAATGAAAAATACAGGGAGAACTGCTTTTTACTACTTTCACAGGATCAAACAGTTAATTTACTTGTTTCAAAAACATTATCTAGCTGTTTTTACATGTTTTAATAAACCTATTTCTTTAGCTAAATAAATGCTGACTCAGCAGGTTAGACACATAGGAATAGTCACTACAGATGAATAAAGGCACTTTGGTTCAGAAATAGGCTCTAATAGACTTTACTGGTTGTCTCTCTTCCCAAAATCTCTGTCCAAAGCTGGCTACATGCACAGAACACAAAGCAGATGAAAACATTCTTTGTGAGTGAAATACCAGTTAAATTTGTTAGATTACAGCAACCAACTGTTCGCTAAACACTTATTCTTACAGTAATTTTGCCTAAGCACTCACAGTTCTTTCCATCTTTTAGTGACTGCTGTTCAATCTCATAGTTGTTCAGAAGTTTTTGTAGCTGACGCTACAGTACTTTAGCTTAGCCGTTAGCAACTTTAGCGCTGCAGCTAGCGATGGCTTCTCCTCCTACCTCTCTCTCCATCTCTCTCTCCTACTTTCTCCTGCTCGGTGTGTCAGATGTTCAGTTACTCCTCTGCCTCCTTTAGCGGTAATGGTACGTGTAATAAGTGTAGTTTATTTATAGACATGGAGGCGAGGCTCAGTGATTTAGAAGTCCGGCTCCGCACCTTGGTAGATCAATCTTTAGCTACTGTAGCTAGCCAGTCCCCGGTAGTCGGTGCGGGCCGGTCTGAGTTAGCCTCTGGTAGCCGTCCCCCGGCATCCCCTGTGCAGCCAGGAAAGGGGGGGGGCTGGGTGACTGTCCGAAGGAGGAATAGTCGTAAGCATTCAAAGTCCACGGGGCATCATCAACCTGTTCACGTTTCTAACAGATTTTCCCCACTCAGCGACACACCCGCTGAGAAACCAACTCTGATCATTGGCAGCTCCATTTTGAGAAACGTGAATTTAGCGAAGCCAGCGGCCATAGTTAAGTGCATCCCTGGGGCCAGAGCAGGCGACATTGAGTCTTATTTGAAACTGCTGGCTAAGGATAAACGTAAATACAGTAAGATTGTTATTCATGTCGGCGGTAATGACTCCCGGTTACGCCAATCGGAGGTCACTAAGATTAATGTTGAGTCGGTGTGTACATATGCAAAAACAATGTCGGACACCGTAGTTTTCTCTGGACCCCTGCCAAATCTGACCAGTGATGACATGTATAGCCGCATGTCGTCATTCCGCCGCTGGTTGTCGAGGTGGTGTCCAGCAAACGATGTGGGCTTTGTAGATCATTGGCAGACTTTCTGGGGAAGACCTGGTCTGATCCGGAGAGACGGCATCCATCCCACTTGGGAAGGAGCAGCTCTCATTTCTAGAAATCTGGCCAAGTTTATTAGTGGACCAAATCCATGACAACCCAGAGTTGAGACCAGGAGGCAGAGTCGCAGTTTAACACACTTCTCTGCCCTTCTTTTTCAGCAGTTACCCACCCAAAACCCTACGCAGAGTCGCAGTCTAACACACTTCTCTGCTCCTCCATTTCAGGAGTTACTTAGTGAAAACGCTATAGTGACGGTGTCTGCCCCCCGACCATCGGAATTATTTAAATCAAAGGTAAACAGAAGAGGAGCTGTGCATAAAAACCTCATAAAAATTAAAACCACAAGAGCAATAGTGCAAACGAATAGGAGAGTTAAATGTGGACTCTTAAACATCAGATCTCTCTCTTCTAAAGGTGTACTAATAAATTAACTAATATCAGATTATGATATTGATTTATTTGGTCTTACTGAAACCTGGCTGGGTGATGGAGAATATGTTAGCCTAAATGAATCCACCCCTCCCAGTCATATTAATACTCACATTCCTCGAGGCACAGGCCGAGGAGGTGGAGTTGCAGCTATCTTCGACTCTAGCCTACTAATCAGCTCTAAACCTAAACTAAACTATAACTCATTTGAAAGCCTTGTTCTTAGTCTTTCGCACCCAAGTTGGAAATCACTGCAACCAATTCTCTTCGTTATAGTGTACCGAGCACCTGGTCCGTACTCTGAATTCTTATCTGAATTTGCAGAGTTTTTGTCAACTTTAGTCCTTAAAACGGACAAAGTTATTATTGTAGGGGATTTTAATATTCATGTGGACGTTGAGAATGACAGCTTTAGTACTGCGTTTATCTCTTTGTTAGATTCCATCGGCTTCTCTGAGAGTGTTCATGAACCGACTCACTGTTTTAACCACACCCTCGACCTTGTTCAGGTGTATGGTATTTAGATTGAACATTTAATAGTGTTCCCACAGAATCCCTCTTTATCTGACCTCTGTTTGATAACTTGAGTTTGTATCGCTGAACTACACGCCATTGGCCAGAATTTTCTATGCAAGATGTTTGTCTGATAGTGCTGTAGCTAAATTTAAGGATGCGATTTCGTCAGCACACACACCCAGCTGATTTCCTGTAAATGGAGAGGGGAGGACCAACACTGAGCAGGTGAGAACATTCCCCCTTGTTTAGACCTGTTCAATCTGAAGCTGAAAGAGTTCAGACTCCATTTTAAGTGGACAGAGCAGGAGGAGGAAAACTGAAGGCTGAGGCAGGGTGAGTGTTAAGATTCTTTTCCTGTCAGAGTCTCTGAGGCAGTTTTCTCCCTGTGGACTGTAGAGGAAAGAAATGTCAGAGTGAAGTCCCGGTGAGTCCCTGGTGTGACAGTTTAAGTGGTGGCTGAATTAACAGCTGATAGTCTAAGACGTGTTGCAGTTGTGGCTTCAGGATCTCTGAGCTGCTAACCAGGAAATCCGTTCAGATCACTTTGTTTATCTACCTAATGTATATTTCTGTAGATATCTGCTTCTGAATGTAGTTTGTTCATCGCTCTCCTGCACGCTGATTCACAGGGATCTCTCCAACCTATTCATTAGTTTAAAGTGAGGACTATGGGGGTGATCATGTAGGTCACTGTGTTGATGCCTGTTCAAAACACTGCAGCCATCAGTAAATGGTCCAGATGTTCATGTTGTCTGCTCTGTGTCCTGATTAGAGATGGGGATCGTTCATTTTTATTGATATTGATACCCTTATTGAGACTGCCTCTTTCCGATCGATCCGATTCTTTATCGATACTTTACTATTATTTAGTGATGGTTATTTGGTAAGACCAGACCCAACGGGCCTGAGGTAGGCATGCACGGTGTGAGGAAAATATTCAATGTGCAATAACATTATATATTGAGATGACATATCACTTATGATAAATAAACATATATTGAAGTGTACATATTAACTGCCTTAATTTAATATTTTAAATACAGCTAAATGTTGTTTCTAGAGCAGCAACATTAATGTTTAACACAGCAAAGTAACTCATTAACTTGACATCACAAGTAGTGATAAGGCTGCAGGTAAAGTTATCAGGTAGAAGGAGGAGCGGCTGGTTTGTTTTTAAGACTACAGACCAGTCTGTGCTCCAGACATTTCTATTTAGCTTGTTTTTAACATTTGGCTAATGCCAAGCTAACGTTAGCTGTGCTTGTATAAAACATTCAGGATGAGATACTGAGGACAGAGATGATTAAATTAACCATTTCTACATGTTTAACGTTACCTTACAGACTGTGTATTCATAAAGTATTGTCTTTTTACTTGCGAAGGTTTTATTGCACATACTTACAGTAAGAGCGTAGCTGTCATCAGCTAACGTTACAGTAGTTTGGAACTAACTTAACCCTCACCGTATTCCACCGTGATGGCGCCGCCTCTCGCTCTGCTGCCGCTGTGTGTGTGTGTGTGTGTAGGAGCCAACAGAGAGCAGGCAGAGACTGCAGCCTGATGATTTTCTTATCCATTGCGTTTCAAATTAAATCAGATTTGACTCTCGAGACATAACGTTACATAGAACCCGCAAGTCTCGATAGCAGTATTGATAAGCTCGAACTTTATTGATTTTACGGTTTTGAGAAATTTAGAACCGGGTCTCGATCCCCGTCCCTAGTCCTGATGGTGTTTAATGTGTTTGTACTTACATACAGCCTATAGGGAAACAGGCTGAGCTGTTTGTTGATGCTCAGCTGGAAGGCAGTAACACATCAGCTGTGCTGGAACAACAAAACACCTGAACTGAAGTCCAGAAGATGGAAGAGGAGGACAGAGCAGAGTCTGCAGGATCCAGCTGTCTGTCTATGAAGAGTGACTGGTCCAAAGAAAGAAATCCTCCATACTTCAGTCCTGAACCTGGACCCTCAGACACAAAGTAAGAGACTGTTTTTACTGTAAACTGACCTGAAGGAAGATGAGGATGAAGACAAAATGTTGTGCTAAAAGAACTGTTAGTGCAGATACTGTTTCAAACTAAGATGGAACACCTGAACCTCCATTTCAGAATTTACACTTCAAGAAAATGTTCCTATATTTTTGCCCTCACGTTGACGTCACTGTAAAGATTTAGAAGGATTCAGAATCAGAAAGAATCTGCTTCAAATGGGTCATTTTCTCCTATTTGTCCTCTAAACACTGAGCTGTTTGGCTCTTCCTCAGATCAGCTGTTCTGATCCACCAGATGCATCTTGAATCACTTCAGATCATAATTGTGCAACATGTGGTGAAAAAGCATTTCACTAGCAAGGACTACACAATCAACAGGTATAATGAATGATTTATTGATGATCGAAACAGAAGATGTATGAGGCTTGCAGTTGCCGAAGATACATTTGAAAGCGTTGTGGGGAAGCTACGATAGGGAAATCCGCAGCACCCGCTAGCACCCGGGCACGATGGACCCGCTTATAACCCTATGGAGAGGAAGAAGATCAGGAGGCAGGACAGAGAAAGGTAGGGGGGGATGCAGGATAGGAGAGCGAAGGGGAGGAGTTAGGATGTGTGGGTATTTATGGAATGCTGGCAATGACGTGGTTGATGTGTGGTCCCTTTCCTTAAACTCTGCTAATTAGCACCACTTGTAGTTCAGCTTTGCTCACCTTGATGAACACTTTGCTTTGAATCATTAGTAAGTGGACCTTTGACCTCAGATTCTCTCCAGCATATATTGTTCCTAACAGGCAGAACTGATGGAAAAATTAGCAGGGGATGAAAAAAGGGCAGAAAATGGTCACATGGAGATTTGGACTGTCGTGGAAATTAATTTCCTGGTGAGAGGTTGAGCAAATAATTGAGTTACAACAAACCATTGTCTTTGAAGATTTTATTTAACAAAAGAGAATAAACACAGAAGTACTACAACACAAATCAGATGGACCAAAGGTTCTGTCTCCTAAGACAGTCATTAACGTCTGGCCCAGGGCTGCATGATCATTTACACAGTCTGAGCATCTATCATCATTTTGGGGAACAAAAGATCCTTGACTGTTCCCAGTCAAGCAAGGAGAACAACAGCTAGTGAGGAAAGTGGAGAGTAGTCGTGGGCACCGAGGGCAATGCACTTTTCACCTGGGAGTGCAGAGTTGAAAGAGAAGAACAAATTAGCACAGTATCTCAACATTTTATCATCACAAGTTGTTGTGGTGGGTATAGACTGCTGTGCTATGGGTTTTCCTGCAGAAGTTAGAAAATCTCTGTGACACCATAAAGCAGCAAAATCATGAATTGTTACAAATGCATAACGAGAGTCTGTGTAGATGTCTGCCCTTGAACTGATGAACTGTTTTGCCCCTACCCAGCTTGCAGGCTTCCGTGAGAGCCACTAGCTCTGCGGCTTGAGCTGAAAAATGTGCGGGTGATTTACCACTGAACAATGTTTCACGCTGAGTGACAACAGCAAATCCCACCAAACCTTCACCAGTGTCTGGAGAGCAGGACGCCGATCCGTCCACGAACAACTCAAGATCTGCATTTGCCAGAGGGATGTCCGTTAGATCTGGTCTGGGAATGCACACCTAGTTTATGGAAAATACACAGTCATGTGGATCCCCATCTGCTTGGGTAGGGAGGAGAGCACAGTACATCTTTTACTGTGATGTTAGGCATGTCAAGCACAGTAGTGTGATATCTTAACCAGCACTGTACAGATATGTGCGATGTCTTTTGTGTGTAGGATTTGTGAAACTGCATGTGGTACCATGAGTGTGAGATCACCATATCCTACAATGTCTCGCGATGCAACCACTGCTTTTTCTGCTGCTGCTAAAGCCCAGAGGCACAGTGGTAGTCAAGCAACAACAGGGTCAAGTCTGGAGGAAAAATAACCTACAGGTTGTTGTTTTCCCCTGTGTTCTTGAGTCAGAACAGAAGTCATGTACCCGTCTTTGGAAGTCCCAGTGTGGGCGCAGACTGTAAAGAGCCCTTTAAGTCTGTGAAAGCTTCTTCATCCTTGTCAGTCCAAGTCAGTCGGTCATGTGCACAGAGATCTTTACCATGAATCATGGAAGAGAGGGGAACCTCTCTTTGTGAGTAGTTTGGCAGCCATTGTCTACAGTATGACGTCATTCCTAGAAAACTGTTTCTTTGTTTTTGGTTTTGGAACAGACTGAATAGTCAAAAGGTGGTTGGGGTAGAGGGATTTACCCTCTGCAGTGATCACGTGCCCCAGATATCTCACTTCTGTCTGGGCAAATTGCAATTTAGACAGACTAGCCTTTTGGCCATTTTGAGCTAAATGCTTTAGCATCACAATGGTATCAAGCTTGCATGCTTCATGGGAGGAACTGCAGACCATGATGTCATCGACATACTGCAACAAAACCAAACCGTGTAGATGTAAACTTTGGAGAAACGTAGTGCACTGTGAAAAACCCCAGGAGATTCACAGTATCCCATGGGGCAGCATGACCACGTGTAGCTTTTCCCGTTAAAGGAAAAAGTACTGGCTGTCTTTGTGTACTGGTACTAAAAAAATGCATTTGCCAGGTCAACAACTGAAAAATGTGTGGCATCTGGCGGAATCAATGACAAAATCGTGTTTGGATTTGCCATTCTGGTGCTCGTGGATGCACAGCTGCGTTTACTGCCTGCAGGTCTTGGACAAACCTCCATTCTGTTGGTTGACCCTCTTCACGGATTTTCATTACTGGAAAAATGGGTGTGCGCACAGGGGATTTAGGACACGGAACAGTGACTCCAGCCTGTAACAGTGAATCAAAAACCGGTTTAATACCTTCAAGCGCTTCCTGTTTAATTGGGTATTGTTTCATACAAGGACGAAAATCTGATCTTGGGTGAACTACCAGAGGGTACCTCAGACAGTTCAGCTATGTCCTCCTGTGTGTGTGCAACCATGGTGTGTGAGAAACCTGTTATCGGACTTAGTTCAACAGTTCTCTTAACCAGAGCAGTGTATGTCAATACTATATTGTATACATCACCCTCATTAACTGTGCGGTGTTCTCGGATCCCCTTCCACAGGCTTGTAGTTAGTAAGCTGACTCCGAGTGTGAATCCACCACCCCAGATCCCAATCAGCAGGCTCAGCCAACGCCACATGCAGGCAAAACTCTCCCTGGAAAAGCTGAGATTGGAAAGAAGAGAGACACGGAAACAGCAGCAGCCCTGCTTTTCCAATAAACATGCTGTAAATCAGAAATCAGAATCAGAAATACTTTATTGATCCCCAAAGGAAAATTCTGTGTTACAGTTGCACACATTGCACAAAGGGCAAAAGGAATATAAATAAAGATAGTGGTATATACAGAATATATTTATATAAAAATATAAAAGAAAAGAAATATAAGGAGTGCAGATATGTACAATATTTACATAGTTAAAGGAATTGTTATGATAAAGTATTTATATAATTAAGGAATTTTTATGGTGAACAGTAATAATGAATAAATAGTAGCAGCAGAGTATTGCACATTATAATTTAAGCAGGTGTTATTGCACAAAACAGATAATATTGTCCAGTTTAACAGGCAGGAATGACTTCCTGTGGCGCTCTGTGCTGCATTTTGGGGGAATGAGTCTTGCACTGAAAGAGCTCCTGTGTTTGAGCAGCAGGTCATGGAGCGGGTGGGAGACATTGTCCAAGATGACATGTAGTTTGGACAGCGTCCTCCTCTCTGAACCACCGACAGAGAGTCCAGCTCCGCCCCCAGAACGTCACTGGCCTTGGATCAGTTTGTTGAGTCTGTTGGTGTCCGCTACCCTCAGCCTGCTGCCCCAGCATGCAACAGCAAACAGGACAGCACAGACTCATTAAACATCCTCAGCATCGTCCTGCAGATGTTGAAGGACCTCCTCAGGAAATAGAGACGGCTTTGGCCCTTCCTGTAGAGGCCTCAGTGTTCTTGGCCCAGTCCAGTTTATTGTCCATGTGCACTCCAGGTATTTGTAGTCCTCCACAATGTCCACAGGGACCCCCTGGATGGAAACAGGGCTCACTGGTGCTTTTGCTCTCCTTAGATCCACAACCAGCTCTTTAGTCTTTATCATGTTGAGCTGCAGATGGTTCTGCTCGCACCATGTGACAGAGTCCCCCCCACAGCTCTGTACTCTGCCTCGTCACCCTGCTGATATGGCACACATACTGTAGTCTGTCTGTCAGGTAGTCAATCCAACAACAATCCAGGACACGAGGGGGGCATCCACCCACATCGCTGTCAGCTTCTCACCCAGCAGGGCCAGCCGGACCCTCACAGTGTTTGCCGGCTTTTCCAGGTGGGTATAGATGCGGTTGAGCAGGAAGATGATGGCGTCCTCAACTTCCAGTCGGGGCTGGTAGGCAAACTGTAGTGGGTCCAGAAAAGGGCTGTCCGTGGGCCGCAGCTGATCCAGAACCATCTGATCTTTGGCACAGGAATGAGGCAAGATGTCTTCCACAGCACAGGCACCCTTTGGAGACTCAGCCTCAGGTTGAAGGCATGGTGAAGGACTCCACATAGCTGGGGGCACAGGCTTTGAGCACCCCAGGACAGACACCATTAGGGCCTGCAGCCTTATTAGAGTAGAGTCTCCTCAGCTGTCTTCTCACCTGGTCAGCAGTGAGGCACACAGAGGTCACACGTAGGGGAGGGGGAGAGGAGAAGTCGTCAGGCTGAAGGAAGCTGTTAACCTGAGAGCTGGAGGATGGGGGAGTAGGGATCTGCCAGGAGAAGGGCAGTGGACAGTGAGGAGGAGGAGGGGGAGAAGTGGGGTTGGAGGTGAGACAGCAGCTGAGTTAGTGGGGGGATGGGCAGGAGCCATAGTATCAAATCTGTTAAAGAACAGAGGGAAAAGCTGTATTCATGGTTAACATTAGCATACAGCAGGTCCAGGGTTCTCTCCTCTCTAGTATGGCAGCTCACAAACACAGTGTTTCTACCTTTTGACTGTCCCTGTTCCATAATTTCTCAAATTCCTCATCCTGTCCTTCAAAACAGTGTGCTGTGCAGTATAGGGAGTCATCTGGTTGAAATTCAAAGGCCTGAGTACAGTGTTGATTTACAAATGTTCTCAGTTGTGGTACCACAGCAGACACACTAGATGGTGCCAAAACCCACTAATAAACAAAGTTCAATGCCTCTGGACTGTATTTCACCATTTGAAGTGTAAATTTCAGTTGGGTCACTTTCAACCCCTCAGGATGTGAGGTTAAAACAATACCAAAATGAACCATGAAATCTCGTCCCATTAGGTTAATGGGACAATTCTCTGACAACAAAAATGTTTGGTTATGGCATCATCCAGCACACATGACAGTGGTGTCGTGTATGGTTCTGAAATAGGGATTCCTCCTGATTCCACAGTTTTGCAAAATTGTGGGGTCAGGGGCAAAACACTTCTCTTTGGTGGAGTTGGAAAAGTTGATTTTTTCAAAACCGATATAGTAGTCCCGGAGTCAACTATGTTTAAAATAACTCAGGCAGCTTCCTGAATCCCTCATTTCCATTTATGTACATTTAAAAAGTAAAAAGTCAAAAACGGTCAAGTTTATCAATGTCTTTCTTAGTTTCAATGTATGTTATTGCCATCAATAATGGTATTTGTCATAGTCTGTTATAGATTGAGACTCACCCATTGATGTGTGTGTGGCACGCAGTCCGTCCCCAGGGTCCTCTCCGCCTCCACTCCCTCGTTTCAGACCCCTCTTCCTTTCCTTTCTGCACTCATCCCGCCAATGTCCCGTTTCCCCGCAATTAAAACAAACATCCGCGTCTTAATGACTTCGCCAGTAACCCGGAAGCTCTCTTCCACTATCCCCCTTTTTCCTTCTTTCTGCACGAGGATTGTCCTCTCGATCCAGGGTTGTGTGAGAATTTAACATGGTCTGACGTGCGTCCTCCGGCTTCTTCTGTTGACCCTTAATCCCGCTCACGTCACCCTCAGGTGGTCCTCAACATGGGCAGTGTTTATGGTTTCAAGCGACGCCACTCTCCATGTAACACAGCCACTCCACACCCCAGCGGCGATCTCTGGCTTCATCTGGCTCAGGAAGTGCTCTTTCAAGTGTACTTCATACAGGAGCATTGGATTAGCCCCATCAGACCTCGGGTCATACCGCTGTGGACATTGAACGCCTCTGTCAAACGGGCCAGATATGCCCTACAGGTCTCTGTTGGTCACTGCTTCACGGAGGTGATGTTTGACAGCTTCATCTGCACCGGAAAAGCAATCAGTCCAGTGATCGCATCATGGTACCCAGCATTGTCGACATGGCTGTAAACCACGTCTTCCTGACGGCACGCCTGCACGTTAGTAGTGAAATTGTCTGCTCATCGTGTGTCTTATCTCAGTCATTGTGGGCCTGTATTCTTTAGCAAACTGCTCCATCTGCTTTGCAAAGTTGTTGTCAGTTGGGCTGGACACGTGCACCATGCATCCACAATATCCTGTTCAGCCCATGGACGGAAAACTAGCAATGGGCCTGCGTGCCCTGCAGCTTCCATCATTGGCATTTCCATGTTCACTTGGTCCTCCGTTTTACTGTCAGATTTCAGCTTGTATCGAGGTTGCTCTGAAGACATTGCCTTCGGCTTACTGTCCGTTGGTCTGCAAACGGAGCCGCGTCTCTGAGGTACCTGTGTCCCGATATCTCCGGGGCCCGCTCCCTCAGTCTTTGTTACAACTTGAAGTGTTACTGGCCCTCCCACAGCCACAGCTGTTGTTGCGGCTTTGGTTTCAGTCTCTTCTGGGCTTAAAATGTGCGCTCCCTCAGGATGCTAACTTGGATGTTGCGGTAGGTTCAAAGCTGGATTGTAGGGAGGAGGAAGCAGCGCCTCTGCTTCTTCCCTCCATTGCATGTAAGCTTTCCAGTCTGCTTTAAATGGATGATTTTTCTTCTGCTGTTTCTTGGACAAGGCTGCATGTTTCTCTGTCGCTCTCCTTTCCTCCACCTCTAAACGTATCTTTAGCTAATGCAATTGATGTAGACTAAAGCTCCCCGTTGCTGGGAACCCAAATTCAACCCACTTATCAAATTGTCCCATTGAGTTTTCATGTTTTTCAGTCATACATTTCACAACTGGTGAGGGTAATAGTGGAGTGGTTCCACCCTCAGTCCTTGCTTTACTCTGACACTTCCCCATCCTATCTCTAGTTAAGGTGCTCTGGCATCAACGTAGCAGTTACTGGGTCCACTGAGTTCGGCTAGAGTCTAAGGCTCTACGCCGCAATCCTAACTTATCAGCTGGATCCCCACCAACTCTCGGACACAGCCCCCCCAACCCGTCCGCCCTGAGACTCCCCCGATACCCAACCTTTAAAATTACAAGTGATAGAGGTTCTGCCTGACTTGGGCGCAAGATCTAAGCCTATTCTTTCAAACTGTTCAATCACACTCTTTATTTTTCACTCAATTACCTACTAATTTCTCACCGTGTAAGTTCTTATCCAGGGCCAGAGCGATGACCAGGACTCAGTTGAATGCAGCTTCTCACCACAGGGAGGAATCCACTATCTAAGTTGGCCTCCGCACTTCACCCGTGTCCAGATCATGCGTCCGTCCCATCTGAGGTGCCAAATTGTTGTGGAAAATAATGAACCATTGAAAAGAAGTACTACAACACAAATCAGATGGACCAGAGGTTCTGTCTCCTAAGACAGTCACTAACGTCTGGCCCAGAGCAAACAATTGCATGATCATTTACACAGTCTGAGCATTTATGCTTTGGGGAACAAAAGATCCTTGACTGGTCGCAGTCAAGGAAGGAGAAGAACACCTATTGAGGAAAACAATAAACAACCCCACATCCCTGACCTTAACCTAAACTGACAGTCTCGAATAACAAGAATAATAATAAAAAGGGAACCGGTTAAAGATTAAAAACAATATATAAGACATAATAAAAATAGAAAAATAGCACTCTTATAAGTACTTGCATGAAGGATTATAAGTAAAGAAGAAAACAATTTTCGGCTGTCACACTTCCCTTTTTAGATTCTTTGAATTGTTTTCATGTGATAGTTGACAGTAGAGTGACAGGAAACATAATGACAAACAAACAACTCTATGTGTGGACTAAAACAGTAAAGGACATTATCAGCTCTCTTTGATGGAGGCTTTTACTGTGAAGGAGCTGCAGGAAGTGTTGAGTTTGTGTTAATAACGAACTACAGCCAGATCACTAAATGTTTAATAAGACAGACAGGAAAAGCAGTTAATTAGTGTTTCTGAAAGCAGGAGAGCTGAAATAAGGAACAGTCATCTTCATCACATACTGAAAGCTGAATTCAAACAGCCTACTGAAACCAGATGAGAGTAAAATACCAAAGTAAAACAGGAAACACAAAGACACAAGAGGAAGCAGTTAACAAAATAAAACAGGAAATAATAACCCTCAAAGCCAAAACCATGACAACATGTCTTCACAGAGAGAGGAAGAGGAGTCATGTTTCTATGGAGGAGCAGCCGTCCTGCTGTGCTTTGTGTCAGGACGTCCTGAAGGATCCAGTCTCTACCAGCTGTGGACACTGGTTCTGCAGACTGTGCATCGCCTCATACTGGGACCAGTCTGCTTCATCAGGACACTCCTCCTGTCCCCAGTGTGGAGAAAGATCCAGAGCTGGACTGCAGACAGCCAGTCAGAGCAGCTCTGTACAAAGTAAGACTGTCCATCTGCCTGCCGATGTCCTCATGTCTGAAAACAGGATTCTTGGGTTTCTTTGCCTCGCAGCATTTAAAATGTTGCTGTCTCAGCCAATCAGAAACATTTTCAATAGGATTCAGTTTTCTTACTGGTTGTTTTTATGTTGGTGCTAATGAATAATTCCCACTAATGATTCTTTCTTCTGTGACAGTAGATGGCAGTCTGCAGGAGGTTTTAGATGAACATAAGATCAGTCTGAGGAGGAGATGTGAACATGTGACTGAAGGAAGTGATGAAACAGGAAGTGGAACCCTCCTCAACAGGATCTACACTGAGCTCTACATCACAGAGGGACAGAGTGAAGAGGTTAATACCCAGCATGAGGTGAGGCAGCTTGAGACAGCTTCCAAGAAGAAGACCCTCCATGACACTCCAATCAGGTGCCAGGACATCTTTAAAGCCTTACCTGGCCAACAGAGAGCCATCAGAGTGGTTCTGACCAACGGCGTCGCTGGCGTTGGAAAAACCTTCTCGGTGCAGAAGTTCACTCTGGACTGGGCAGAGGGCTCGGAAAACCAAGATGTCAGTCTGCTGGTTCTGCTCTCGTTCAGGGAGCTGAACTTGATCAAAGATGAGCGGCACAGTCTCCTCACGCTGCTCCATGTTTTCCATCCAACATTACAGAAGGTCCCAGCAGAGAAGCTCGCCGTCTGGAAACTGTTGTTCATCTTTGACGGCCTGGATGAAAGCAGACTTTCATTGGATTTCCACAACAGTGAGGTTGTGTCTGATGTCACACAGAAGTCATCAGTCAACCTGCTGCTGACAAACCTCATCAAGGGGAATCTGCTTCCCTCGGCTCTCGTCTGGATAACTTCCCGACCTGCGGCGGCCAATCAGATCCCTCCTTCGTGTGTCGGCAGGGTAACAGAAGTACGAGGCTTCACTGACGCCCAGAAGGAGGAGTACTTCAGGAGGAGAGTCAGTGATGAAGAGCTGTCCAGCAGAATCATCTCATACATCAAGACCTCCAGGAGCCTCCACATCATGTGTCTAATCCCAGTCTTCTGCTGGATCACTGCTACAGTTCTGGAGCACATGTTGACTACAGAGCAGAGAGGAGAGCTGCCCAAGACCCTGACTGACCTGTACTCACACTTCCTGCTGGTTCAGATAAAGAGGAAGAAGCAGAAGTACGATGAGAGACATGAGACGAGTCCACAGGAGCTGACGGAGGCTGACAGGAAGGTTCTTCTGAAGCTGGGGAGGCTGGCGTTTGAACAGCTGGAGAAAGGAAACATCATGTTCTACCAAGAAGACCTGGAGCAGTGTGGTCTTGATGTCACAGAGGCCTCTGTGTACTCAGGAGTTTGTACAGAGATCTTCAAAAGAGAGTGTGATCTTCCAGAAAACAGTCTACTGCTTTGTTCATCTGAGCGTTCAGGAGTTTCTGGCTGCAGTCTACATGTTCCACTGTTTCACCAGCAGGAACACAGAGAGACTGGAAGACTTCCTGAGGAGTTCCATGGAGAAATCTCTCCAAAGTGAAAATGGCCACCTGGACCTGTTTGTTCGCTTCCTTCATGGCCTCTCTCTGGAGTCCAACCAGAGACTCTTAGGAGGCCTGCTGGGTCAGACAGACAACAGTCCAGAAATCATCCAGAGAGCCATCAACAACCTGAAGAAGAGGAAATGTACTCGATCTCTCCTGACAGAAGCATTAACATCTTCCACTGTCTGACGGAGATGAATGACCACTCCGTACATCAGGAGATCCAAGAGTTCCTGAAGTTAGAGAACAGATCAGAGACGAAACTCTCTGAGATCCACTGCTCAGCTCTGGCCTACATGCTGCAGATGTCAGAGGAGGTTCTGGATGAGTTGGACTTGAAGAAGTACAACACATCAGATGAGGGACGACAGAGACTGATTCCAGCTGTGAAGAACTGCAGAAAGGCTCGGTAAGTCCAGATGTGATTATCAACACTGTAAAGCAACGTAAAGCTGAAGCATCAGTATTACAGTAAAGATCCACACTTTACACACTCGCTCAATATAAAACCTCCACACTATAAAAGTTTCCTAAACTAGTATTAAAGCTGCTTATTGAAATAATTCTATGTGTTAAACTCCAAATGCCTACAAACATAATTTCTGTGTTTCTATCCATCAAGTTAGTGACACAAGTATCTTCTATCATCTTCTATGTTTCTTTGGGTGATGGAGGCTTGATACAAATCCAGCAGGAAAACTTGAGGATTAATAGTTAGTGCTGAAAATGTTTTGACAGTCATCCTTTTATCACAGCAGTCTTTTTATTTGTCCACTGATCCAATGTCTGTTTCATGTTCTTCTTCTATACTGTAGTGGGGCTCTCTTCCAAACTCCTCAAAAATTAGGAAAACACAGGCATAGTCGAAAATAGTGATGTGATTGTTATCATGCCGGCCTCCAAAGTGCAAACAGTGAAAAAAAAACGTAATAAACATCAATCCATCGTCAACCACTTATCCTGCATACAGGGTCGCGGGGGGGCTGGAGCCAATCCCAGCTGACATCGGGCACAAGGCGGGGTACACCCTGGACAGGTCGCCAGTCGCAGGGCCACACATAGACGAACAACCACTCAGGCTCACACTCACACCTAAGGACAATTTAGGGTCGCCAATTAACCTAGACTGCATGTCTATGGATGGTGGGAGGAAGCCGGAGTACCCGGAGAGAACCCACGCAGACACGGGGAGAACATGCAAACTCCACACAGAAAGGACGGGGCAACCAGGGTTTGAACCCACGATCTTCTTGCAGTGAGGCGACAGTGCTAACCACCCTGCCGCCCCGTAATAAACATAACAAAACTAATAAAACAACTTGAAAAAAAAAGCCATACTCAATAATAGTTACAAAAAGAGGTATTCAATAACTGACTTCTCTCTCCCCACAAAAATACAGCTCATGGCATTAATTGTACAATATGTATTTTAAATGTCCTGTGCATATGGTGTGTAATGTGATGTAACAAACTGTATTGTCACATGGAAGATTGTAGGACCCCAGGAAGAATAGCTTTTAGCTTATGCTGAAGCTAATGGGGATCCAAATAAAACAAACAAACAAAAAAACCTCCTCTGTAACCAGTCCAAGACTGCCTTCACAAGCCCAAAGCTGCCACTTTTAAAGTCAATAGCCCCTCCCATTAGGCATAACAATTATTTACACTATACTTTAAACACATTTTACGAACTACAGAAAAGTATCTATATCTATTACACTTCGTCATATATTCCGCAATAATTATATCCCTCTTCCTCTCCGCTCTGTCACATCATCCCTCTCCTCCTGGAGGTTGGCGATGTGCGGCAACCACGAATGGTAATCTGCTACCACATTGGCCTGGCCTGATCTGTGTCGGATGGTGAACCTGAATGGCTGGAGTGAGAGGTACCATCGAGTAAGGCGGCTATTGTGGTCTTTCATTGAGTTGATCCAAGTAAGAGCTCGGTGGTCAGTTTCCAGATCAAACTCCCGTCCTAGCAGGTTGTAACTGGACTTGGTTGAAGATACTGGAAGACGTTTCGTCCCTCATCCAAAGGACTTCTTCAGTTCTGACTGACTGGCAGGGAAACTCAGCTATTTAACCTCAGTGGGGTCGTTGGCCCGGGTCATCGATACCGCTGGTTCGTTAGTGTTCCTGGTTGCTGTGACGACAGTCGTTACAGTCGTTAAGACTACCGGTGGCCAAGACTGAACGACCATCGTTGGTATCTTCACCTGAGGCCAAGAGGTTATGTTCGTTGAGTTTCCTGGAAAGTGAAGAAAGGACAGCATTGTAAGTGGAGGATAAGTGGTGGCGTAGACCCCCTCCTCTGTTCAATGACGGCTTCTCGACCCGGGTGTAGATGCTTCCTTGACACCTCTTTCAAACCATCCATCTTCTCTGTCTAAAATGTGCAGCTGGTGGTCCTCAAACGAGTGTCCTCTGTCCTTCAGATGTCAGTAGACTGCAGAATCTTGACCTGAGGAATTGGCCCTTCTGTGTTGAGCCATGCGTTTGATACACTAGATTGCTTTTCTTGTGTTTGGGTGTGCGGTCTTTGGGGTGTACCAGCATCTGTCTTAGTGTGTTCTTGGGTTTAAGAAACACAGGGATGTTATGTTTGTTAAGTTTCTCTGATACTCCAGACACGTATGGAATCACAATGTTGTAGCGTTTGACCTTCTTTTCCTCCTCCCCTGTAGTTTTGTTCTTCTTGGATCTTGTGGCTGTTTTCACAAAGGTCCATTTAGGGTATCCACAGGCTGTAAGTGCCCCTTCAGGTGTTTCTGTTCCTTCTCTCTGGCTTGGGTGCTTGTTGGTATGTTTTCCGCTCTGTGGTGTAGTGTTCTCATGACCCCTAGCTTGTGTTCCAGTGGGTGGTGTGAATCAATGCAGGTCCGATTTTGGATTTGGGTCCCTGAACCAATCTCTGAGGAGATTCAGGTTCAGGATGCTCACCATCCCCGCCATCATCAGTCACATCAAATCCGAGGATTGGTTTGTCACGATAGATCTGCAAGACGCTTATTTCCACATCTCCATCCGTCTTTCTCACAGGAAGTTCCTGAGGTTTGCCTTGGGGGCACGGCTTACCAGTATCGGGTTCTTCCGTTCAGCCTAGCACTCTTTCCCCGCACGTTCACCAAATGCATGGATGAAGCTCTGGCCCCGTTGAGGCTCCAGGGCATCTGCATACTGAACTACATCGACGACTGGCTCAGCCTGGCCTAGTCTCGAGAGTTAGCGGTTCGGCATCGAGATGTCGTCCTCACCCACCTTCAGCGTTTGGGGCTGCCCAACGGACTACGTTCTTAGGGGTTTGTGGGACTCAACGACGTTGCGGGCCCACTTGTCTCCCGCACGCGTTGAGTCCATTTTATCCTCAGTGACCAGAGTGCAGTTAGGCCGCGCCATCACTGTAAAACACTTCCAGAGGGTGTTGGGTCTCCTGGCAGCAGCGTCCAGTATAATACCTTCCGGACTACTGCACATGAGAGCCCTGCAGTGGTGGCTAAAATCCAAGGGGTTCTCCCCGAGGGGAAATCCGTTCCGTCTGATACGGGTTACGAGCAGGTGCCTTCGTTCCCTGTCTGTATGAAGTAAATCTTGGTTCCTGTTCCAAGGTCCCGTGCTGGGAGCGATCTGTCGCCAAACAATTATTTCGACAGATGCCTCACTCACGGGATGGTGCCCGGTCATGGACGGCTGCTTTGTGAGAGGCTCCTGGGAGGAGCATCATTTCTCCTGGCACATAAATTGCCTGGAAATGTTGGCGGTTTTCAGAGCTCTGAGGAGTTTTCTGCCCACATCCTTGTCAGAACCAACAATACGGCAGTGGTGGCCTATTTGAATCACCAGGGGGTCTGCGCTCGCGCCCGTTATGCAAACTGGCCCATCAGATCCTCCTGTGGTCCCAGCAGAGACTACTGTCCCTCAGAGCGACGTCCCTGGGACCCAGAATCAGGGAGCAGACCTGCTGTTGAGACAGGGGCTGAGGCCCGGGGAATGGAGAGTCCACCCCGAGGTGGTGGAGTTGTGTCCCAAAGGTTCCGGCCAGGGTCCACGGTGCTGCAGGCGTTTCATCCCCCACCTCATGTGACGGCGGAGGACGGGAGACTTCATCTGCTCTGCCCTGTCACTGAGTATTTACACTCTGAGGTCTTCCCGGTGGAGGAAAGCAGACCAGTTGATGGTTTGTTTCGGGTCCCCCAAGGCTGGGCTCCCCGCTTCTAAACACACCATCACCTACTGGATCGTTCAGACTATTTCCCTGGCCTATCAGGTGCGCGGTTTGCCTTCACCTATGGCCGTAAGGGCGCACTCTACGAGAGGCATGGCGGCTTCTAGGGCCCTCCTCGCAGGGGCGTCACTCCAGGATTTGTGTGACTCGGCTGGCTGGGCCACCCCTCACACTTTCATCCGGTTTTACAGTCTGGACCTTCCTTCTGCACCCGGCACCCGTGCACTCTCCTCCTAGTTGTGCTGACAGGTTCTGCACGCTGGGGGCAGGCGGGGTTTTGGCGCAGCCTAAGTGGGTATCTTGTTTCCATAGTGTCGTCACCGACGCAGTTCCCCTCCTTCCCCTCCTCCTTCGAAGGGGAACGTCTCAGGTTACGTATTTAACCCTTGTTCCCCGAGAAGGGGAACGAGACACTGCGATGGTCCGCCACACCTCACCTCGCCTGGAGTGCCTTGCTTCATAGAAAAGGGTTAATGTGTCCTGTGTGCCGGTGTGCCTATATAAGCCTCCGGTTACGCCGTCACACGCTACTGTTCTAGCAACACCAATAGGATTGGAGTAGTTTCATTCATAGTTCAGCCCTGCCACGCCCAGAGGCGTTCCCATAGTGTCGTCACCGACGCAGTGTCTCGTTCCCCTTCTCGGGGAACAAGGGTTACATACGTAACCCGAGACGTTTCCTGTAATAAGTCCATGAGTACCAATAAATTGCAACCCAAAATGGCATCTTCAGGCCAGTGTTCAACCACCCCAACAGTCAAGAGGTAAGGCTATTCATCAATGGTAAAAGTTAAATCCGCTTTGGGATAAGGGTGCTTAACCCCATGAACACACAAAATGTCTATTTGTCTACTGTAGTCCACACTGCCTACTTGTACCAAACTGTGCTTAACCAGAGACATGAAGCTACCACGGTCCAATAGTGCAGTAACGTGCTGTCCATTGATGGTTAGAGTTTTATAGCGCTGAACTCTTGCTTAATATGGTTTCGAAACCAAAATGGTAAATCTGCTGCAGCAGTTTGTGGACAGTAGGTGGCGCTGTGAGTTGTTTACACAGGGACTGTAATCAAGAGCGCATGCTCCATTGGTTTTCCCGCTAAATGAGGAGATTTCAGCAGCGACAGGCCACGTCTCTCTGTCTCATCGTTCTCTCCTGTATTTCCGGAGAAATCCAACAATTTGTGGGTGCTGCAGCGCGGTACCTGGAACACACACATTTCCACTGTGACTTTCATTGAATTTGCAGCACACAGTCTTTGTGTATTTAGCAGCTGGTTTCCTCAGACAGAAGCTCATTACACAATCAGCTGCAGGGACGGCCTCCAGGTTCATTCTGCCAGTGAAGGAGAGCTCAGCAGGTTCAGTTCAGTGGAGGGATTTTATCATCATCAAGCTCAGAGATGAAATGATGCCGTTAAACAGCTGAACTCCACTTAAAAAAAAACTATTACTAATAAAATGGTAATAATACAGTCTTTAGTACAAATTATCAATGCAACAGGAGTCATTAAATGAATTTAATGTGAGATGAAAAGCAGATGGAGTGACATAAGATGCATCAAAGATGCACAAAACACACACAAGGACATGACTGAGGTAAATCCATACAAGTGCAGTTCCAACCTGCAGTGATTTTACAGCTCAGTGAACATCACGTTAAAATGAAGTTTAACAAACACAAATCACACCACCCTGCTAATCACAATCTGACATGTTCACATTACAGTCATTTGGCAGACACTTTTGTCAACAGCAGAAATAATGTGTTTCATTATGTTGCTCAAGGACACTTGTGGACAGGATCTCAAGTTTCAAAACACAAGCCTTGTGATCAATGGCTGAGCAGCTGAGCTGCAGCTGCTCATGTTAATGTGCTTTTTATGCGAAATGCAGAGAGTCTATTTTTAGAATAAAATGTCAGATTTTATTATATTTTAAGTTTTATATTCTCTGTCATCACAGGCTTGGTGACTGTGGACTCTCAGAGACTCACTGTGAAGTCATGGCCTCAGCTCTGAAGTCCAACCCCTCCCATCTGAGAGAGCTGGACCTGAGTGACAACGAACTGCATGATTCAGGAGTGAAGCTGCTGTCTGCTGGACTGGACAGTCCAAACTGTAGACTGGAGATTCTGAGGTCAGTTTACTGACTCTGTTACTATTGTAAATCTGATATGTTTAATTAACAATTGAACCTAATTTCTGTTCATACATAACTTCCATCCATAAAGCTGTAAATGTCCTTTTGTTCATAATTTTATGTGTCTTGTACTAAATTTAGTCTGCAGACACATCTGTATACAGAAGATCCTCTGAACTAATATTTGTTTTAAACCGATCAAGTTTACTTGTTGAAGTAGAAATATTTCTTTGCTCTCTGTTGGTTTCAATGTGTTTTCACAAAGAACTTCTGATCACTGATATTGATCCTTCAGAACACACACACACACAGGCCTGAGATCAGCAGCATGTTATTGATCTGTGTTGTGTATGAATGTTGTGCTGACATTTGGATGATGTCTGTAGAAGACTGACTATGATGATACACTATGGCTGGACGATTATCTCCATTTATTCTTTATTCAGATTGAGGGGCTGCCGGTTGTCAGAGATCAGCTGTGCTTCTCTGGCCTCAGCGCTGAAATCCAACCCCTCCCATCTGAGAGAGCTGGACCTGAGTGACAACAAGCTGCAGGATTCAGGAGTGAAGCTGCTGTGTGGTTTTCTGGAGAGTCCACACTGCAGACTGGAGACCCTGAGGTCAGACACCATTTTTTCCTTCTGTGCTGAGAATAATATTTATATATTTGGAACAACTAGGGGTTAAGTGTCTTGCTCAGGGACACAATGGTGTCCCTCACCCACAATGGTGGATGTCTCACAGTGGGAATTGAACCCAGGTCTCCCACATGTGATCTTACTTGTACAAAATCTTTGTTGGGAGTTGCACATGCGCAGTTCCCGGGTAAGGACTCCTAGCCAATCAGAAGCAGAGAAGGGCGGGTCGTAAGAAACAAGGTTGTGTGATCCAAATCAATGCCGCTTCATACTGCAACCGTAACCTTGCAGATTGTATAAGTTACTCACAAGTCCACAACCACACATCATTGTTCCACATCTTACCATAAACCACTACAAAAAAAATCAACTCAATTTTACATAAAAATTGGCCAAACAATTTGAACATTTGCTCAGTAGCTTTCACAACAGGTGTAAACATTAGCATTATAGTTATAACTTTAGCTGTGTTAGCCAACGTTTACAACAACTCTGCACTTGAACAGTCTGTGAAGTTACATTGCCGTGTTTATTTTAAATATAATTCACAACCAATAAAGCATACTTACAGGTTGTGATTGTGAATTTCCAGGAGTTGCATTGTCTGTTAGGACTAAACTGTTGAGAGACGGGACAGAAAGAACCTAAACGAAAAGTTCAGAGGGAAGGAGGTTTATTGAGGGTTTACGGAGGGGGCTACGGAAGAGGGGAAGGAGGAGAGGTGGACGCCGGGGGACACGGGCACGGAGGACCAAGGAGCAGGCAAGGCGCAGGTGGTGAGGCGAGGAGTGGGGGGAGCCGGGAGGGCGCCGTGGAGGAAGCCCGAGAGGAGAGGACCGGAGGATGAGCCCAGCTGACAGGACGGAGGACAAGGGTGAATGAACCTGGGAGGAAAGCAGATAAAGAGACAGGGTTAGTGACAGAAGCAACAAAGCACAGGGGAATTGAGAGGACTCAAAAACATGAGAGCCTGAGCACAGAGGTGCACCGGGTATGGAGCAAGCACAATCAAGCGAGGATGGTGTGGAGAACCGGGGTTGAAATACAGGCTGGGATGAGGTTGATTACTGGCAGGTGTGGCAGGCTGACGAGATGCAGGTGCAGGTAGTTGGCTGGGCTCAGGAGCAGAGGGAGAGAGGAGGAGAACACAGGGAGGCAGGCAGAGCAAAACAATGGGTGAAATAAAGCGAAGAAATAAGGTAACCAGGACACTCACCGTCAGCTGGGCTGTCCCCACAACATAAACGTTGAACTGTTGCCGGTGTTCTGACGATCTATGCTGCCTTGCCAAAAAATTCTTCCATAGTGCAAATCGATAGACTCGACTCTACTCGGCCCTGCTCCATTTGCCATTGCAGATAGTACCCAGAGATAGAACATAGCTTGTCGTCATAGCGGCGCCACACACAACAGCCGCGATGTAATGTTCAATGCGACACACACACACACCAGCGATCCACACAGCTTACTATTTTTTAAGTTAAAACATTTCAACATTCCTCAGAATGTAAAGACAGATAAGCGGTATGAAAACCTTCCAGCTGTGTTTTCCTCTGCCGTTGTTGCTGCAGCGGTCTGTGTGACGGCGGGAGCAGAGGGCTCTGTGAGCGGGCGGCTGGCCGGCCTCACACGCTCCTCCCGCGGGTTGGCACAGGCTTCCCCCGCAGCCTCTTGCGGAGCTCCTCAGCTCCGAAAATATTTAAGCACATTTTTGTTCCGCCATCACTTCTCATAAAACGGTCAATATTTGAAATCCACACAGCTGATTTCTCACCTCAAAACTTCTAAGAAGTGTATTTAGTGATGAAATTCCATATGAAAACTGTAAAATATAAAACTTCCTGTTGCTGGCCTCTGTCTGGCGCACGCAATGATGATGCAGTGAATCGTGTGTATTCTCTCTGACCAATCAGCAGTCTGTCCTGTTTTCCCGTTACATTTTAGTTTCCCTCAGCTCGCTTGGAACCTCGATGGAGGTGAGGTGATACAAAAAAAGTACCTGGAAGCAGGTACAGGTGCAACATTTCTACAGTGGAAAACAAAACAAAGGCAGTCGGGCTAAAGGGCCTCCGCTCAGACTAGCTTGGTTTGAAGGCGTGCCTGGACCCGCTAGCAGCTTGGCAAGCTTTATGACGCGTTTTTGTAGAGACGTCACAAGTAAAGGAAGTGAAGGGTTGGACTACAAACGAGCTGTTTTCAAGCGATTCAGAGCAGAGCTTTCTGTGGGAGATGGGAACTCCCTTTGGGCTGGACTTTGGGCTTTTTCACTTGGCAAACTTGTTACATGCACAAAAAAGATATATAACTCAATAAAGGAGAGGGGAAAAGCCAAAAAGCATAATACCACCTCTTTCATATAACAAGAAAAATCTCCAACTCCTGATTTTCAGCTTCTATTCCACATCATGTTTTTAAAGAAATGATAATGAAACTACATGAATTCATTACACTACATGAATTCGTCAACCGCTTAAAGAAATAAATAATCTCTATTTCAACTATCAGACAATAACAAATATATTCAGTATTTGCTTTTTCCAACATTGTTATGAAGCTATATAATGCTTATACTGACTGAATAGTTTAAAGTGAAGAAGTGTAGCAAACCTAAATTTAGTTATGCAATTTAATAAATTTATGAGAATTGATACCCAGTTATGAATTTTATTATTCATAAAATCAAACCAGATTCCTCATTTCAGGGCACCACCGGAGTTGTTATAATCCTAGAGTCTCCGGACCTCTAGGTAGTTTTAATAATTATACAATTATTACTAGTGATCAGTTAATAATTGCTCAATTATCTTAAATCAGTCAGTCAGTCTCATATCTAAAGGGTCAATTCTCTTGGCAGGGACGTAGAAATAGGCAACACACACAGCTCTTGATTATATTACAGTGAATTTATTCTCTAACTAATGTGATAAAAAGATGGTTGGATACAGGGAACATAAACATTTGCTGAACAATGAGGTTCGATTGTGGGAAGCATTTGACTCATACAGCATAGAAGAGCTAATGAAAGTAAACTAATGCTATAATTTAGGAGTTAAAAAGGGAAATATCTGATCACAGAAGATGTGTTAGGTCTTACTGCTTGCCGGCTTTTTGTAGATGTCTTTTGTTCACATTTGCCCAATGTTCATCCTGACATATTTGGCATCTTTGGAAACTTTGGGATCTTGAGTGGAATCTTAAATCGGTTTCTGTGGGTTTTTCTTTGTGTTTGGCTGCACAACATGAGTTTGTATAGATGGAGCCACTGGTGGAGCTGCAGAGTTTAAGAGCTGAGTCTGGAAGAGTCTTTATTGAAGTAGCAGCATGTTGTCATTAATATTAATGAGAGCTCTATTTACCTTTTGTATTTTACAGTTTGAACCTGCATCCTGTTGGGTTCAGGTGTTTGGAGTTTCCATTTTCTAAACTTCTACATTCTAAACCTTCTTCAGCTCTGAACAGATTATTAAACACTGAATGATTTCAAGCAGGAGCATTGTCTTCTAAAGTTACATCATTTATTCTTTATTCAGATTGGAGGGCTGCAGTTTGTCAGAGATCAGCTGTGCTTCTCTGGCCTCAGCTCTGAAGTCCAACCCCTCCCATCTGAGAGAACTGGACCTGAGAGACAACAAGCTGCAGGATTCAGGAGTGAAGCTGCTGTGTGGTTTTCTGGAGAGTCCACACTGCAGACTGGAGACTCTGAGGTCAATGAATGTTTCTAATTTTTGGTAAATGGTCACATCTGTATATAGAAGATCGTCTGAACTAATATTTGTTTGAAACTGATCAAGTTTACTTGTTGAAGTAGAAATATTTATTTGTTTATGTTGGTTTCAATGTGTTTTCACAAATAATGTCTGATCACTGATATTGTGTGATCCTTCAGAACACACACACACACACACACACACACACACACACACAGACTGGCCTGAGATCAGCAGCATGTTATTGATCTGTGTTGACATGAATAGGTGTATGAATGTTGTGCTGACATTTGGATGATGTCTGTAGAAGGCTGACATTGTGATGAATAACACAATGACAAAGTCATAGAGGCTAGCCTCTCGAGAGCTCAATAGAGTTTTTTTATGTTGTTTTTTTACATATTTAACTCGCGGCGTACATCAGCTATTGTTATTGGGGCTTGCCATCTCCCCGCTGACCTGTCGTCCTGGCTCCCTCTTGCCGTAGCATATTTGATATACATACTGAGCTAGGAGTTATTTCTTTGTCATTGTTGATGATGGGTTTCAAAGCATCCATATATCCCACAGTCTCTGCATGTAACCCCTCTCATCGGGATTGCTTGTATAGTAGTCAATCCATATTTTCTGCTCTAGTTCATGAATGTCTTGTTCCAGTAGCCGATTTGTCATCAGGTTGCCCTGGTTCCCTAGCCCTGAGCAGGAATCGAACCCATGATCACCTGTACCAAAGTCAGTTGCATTAATGTGTGTGTGTTGTTTGTTTGTTTGTTTGTAGAAGTTGATTCCTGCATGTCTGGACACAGGAGGAACGGATTTTGACTGAAAATATGTGTGATGACAGACGGTTGGACATGAGGTCCTAATAGAAAAATTTATTGTGATGTGATGCCTTGAATCGATTCCAGTCTGTTAGGTGAAATCTAAGGATTTATATAGTCGAATCCAAATTGTCAAGTCTTGCCTATAGTCGCCTGATCATCAAATCATATGTGTGGTGCGTGGGGGGTGGTTACACCTTTAGACCTTCACCTGTCTTGTGCTGAGTTTTGCGTGCATGCAGTGGTACAGACAACTGTACTGTACAACGCACTTTAAAAATAATTATTGAAAGCTTCTTTCTTTTCACATTTTATGTACAGCATTAAATGTTGATATTTATCGTAATAGGCTGTATTTAAAATATTGGGAGAAAACCGGTAGCTCTACTAAAATCAGACATTGAGCACCCCATATTGCCATGGTATGATCCACATTTCATAACGCTGCTGCTAAGCTTCGACTGTGAGATTGGTGATTGAATCATGCTCCGCCCATTGAAGCATTGAATCTTTGACTATTCGGGGTGATCCCTAATATACACATGCGTTTTAATATGTTGTAAGGTTTAAACTACTCTCCCTTCATGACATGACAATGATCTGTCCTCCTTTTAATGGAGTTGTTTACATTCCATGGTGAGATTAAGAACCCAGGAGATGGCCAATTATCCCAAAGCAAAGTTGGGGAGTTCAATTCAGTTGAATTCAATTTTATTTATATAGCGCCAAATCACAACAACAGTTATCTCACAGCACTTTTCATAAAAGAGCAGGTCTAGACCGTACTCTATGATGTTATTTACAGAAGCCCAACAGTTCCCACCAAGAGCAGCACTAGGAGACAGAGGCAAGGAAAAACTTCCTGCTGTGCACACAACAAAAAAATGTAAACAACATCACCAAGAAAAAGGAGCTAATGAGCATTTTGAGCAAAGAATATCAGTTGATATGGCCACCTCTCTAGGTGAAAGTCCTGCTCTCTACTAACTGAACTAACTGATCACCATAGTGTTAAGTTTCACTGTTATGTCTTATGTTCTGAGATCTGAATTCTGAGGACGTGGCATGGGTGAGGAGGATCTGGAAGGACTACTATACTTGAATGGTTGTACTGAAGTTCTGCGCTGGTCAGTCTGCTGGAGTGGTTGGATTCTGGGACAGGTGCTCCTGCCCTAAGCTTCTCTGCAGAAGGAGCAGAAGTGCAGGAGCCTGCAGTTGAATATGGTGCAGCCCAGGTGGTTGAAAATATTGCAGAATGTGTGCAGCGGGTGATAAACAGTTGAATGCTAGGGTGTTTCATGAGGAAAAGGGACATTAGACATTGAGTGCAAGCGGCAGTATTGACCGATGCTTGTTAGCAAATGAAAAAACTGTAAACACTGAACATTATTTACTATTGATTCAGATTGAGGGGCTGCAGATTGTCAGAGATCAGCTGTGCTTCTCTGGCCTCAGCTCTGAAATCCAACCCCTCCCATCTGAGAGAGCACGACCTGAGTAACAACAAGCTGCAGGATTCAGGAGTGAAGCTGCTGTGTGGTTTTCTGGAGAGTCCTCACTGCAGACTGGAGACTCTGAGGTCAGTTCACTGACTCTCTGTTACTATTGTAGATCTGATATGTCTGATCTGATATCTCTTAGTCGTTAAAGTAAATTAATGTTTCTAATTGTTGGTAAATGGTCACATCTATACAGAAGATCCTCTGAACTAATATTTGTTTGAAACTGATCAAGTTTACTTGTTGAAGTAGAAATATTTCTTTGCTTTCTGTTGGTTTCAAAGTGTTTTCACAAAGAATTTCTGATCACTGATATTGATATTTCAGAACACACACACACACACACACACACTGGCCTGAGACCAGCAGCATGTTATTGATCTGTGTTGACATGAATAGGTGTATGAATGTTGTGCTGACATTTGGATGATGTCTGTAGAAGGCTGACATTATGATGATCCACAATAACACAATGACAAAGTCCCTCTACTCATTTTAGGGAAAAGCTCATTGATTAGGACATAGTAATGTTGAGCTCCACATTTAAAACCTGAACACATCTGATTGGATTATAAATGGATTTTATCTCCATCATTTATTATTTATTCAGATTGAGGGGCTGCAGTTTGTCAGAGATCAGCTGTGCTTCTCTGGCCTCAGCTCTGAAGTCCAACCCCTCCCATCTGAGAGAACTGGACCTGAGTAACAACAAGCTGCAGGATTCAGGAGTGAAGCTGCTGTGTGGTTTTCTGGAGAGTCCACACTGCAGACTGAAGACTCTGAGGTCTGTTCACTGACTCTCTGTTGCTATTGTAGATCTGATATGTCTGATCTGATATCTGTTAGTTGTTAAATTAAATTAATTTTTCTAATTTTTGGTAAATGGTCACACCTATACAAAAGATCTTCTGAACTAATATTTGTTTGAAACTGATCAAGTAATTTGTTTGAAACTGATCAAGTAAGTGAACTTGATCAGTTGAAGTAGAAATATTTCTTTGCTTTCTGTTGGTTTCAATGTGTTTTCACAAAGAATTTCTGATCACTGATATTGATCCTTCAGAACACACACACACACACACTGGCCTGAGATCAGCAACATGTTATTGATCTGTGTTGACATGAATAGGTGTATGAATGTTGTGCTGACATTTGGATGATGTCTGTAGAAGACTGACATTATGATGATCCACAATAACACAATGACAAAGACCCTCTACTGATTTTAGGGAAAAGCTCATTGATTAGGACATAGTAATGTTGAGCTCCACATTTAAAACCTGAACACATCTGATTGGATTATAAATGAATCATTTATTCTCTATTCAGATTGAGGGGCTGCATGTTGTCAAGATGCACTGTGCTTCTCTGGCCTCAGCTCTGAAGTCCAACCCCTCCCATCTGAGAGAGCTGGACCTGAGTGAAAACAAGCTGCAGGATTCAGGAGTGAAGCTGCTGTGTAGTTTTCTGGAGAATCCACACTGCAGACTGGAGACTCTGAGGTCAGTTCACTGACTCTCTGTTACTATTGTAGATCTGATATGTTTAATTAACAATTTAACCTAATTTCTGTTCATACATAACTTCCATCCATAAAGTTGTAAATGTCTTTTCGTTCATATTTTCATTTTTCTTGTACTAAATTTAGTCTGCAGTCACAAAGACTTGTGGTTCTTAAAGAAACTGTAGAAAATGTCCGCTGTTAGTTGTTAAAGTAAATGAATGTTTCTAATTTTTGGTAAATGGTCACATCTGTATACAGAAGATCCTCTGAACTAATGTTTGTTTTAAAGGGGCATTATGTAGTTTCCTGCGGCCACTAGCGGTGCGGTTTTAAGATTGCAACCAGGTGTGCGCTCGTACGCATGCTTGCTTGAACTCATGAGTGAGCAGAATCCGAAACACAACCACTTTAATACAGAAATACTGCAATAAACGCAGGAACACCAGCATGCAGGCTGTGGCTTTTCACTCAGACATGTTCAGGCTCTGTTACTTCAACGTTACCATCTCAGAGGCAGATCAACACCGGTGCCGTACCTTTCATTCAGCGCAGCAAGACACCGGCATATTGGCACAGTACTCCCGAAAAAAGGCAAAGTGAGAGCGGCTATAGACAGGTAGGCTTCAGCTTCACACAACATGCTGGAAACTCAGGTAAACTCAACGTTACAGTAATATTTTTATCAGCTTGATGTTGAACTAATCCATGCTCGTTACATGATAAAGTTACACTGCATTTAGCCAATGTGCTACATCGTTAGCTCGCCTGCTGCTTTCAGTAACTGTCTTATCTGTGTATCTGTCACCGGAGGCTCAGCAATGTCAGCACAGCTACATGTTTTGGATGATAATGAAACTGTTAACGTTAGTGAGCTGGACTGAATATTATAACGAGATTGTGTCACACTTTATAGCAGTTAGACAGCAGTAAGTAAATTTACTGCAGTGTTAGTGGATGCCTCTTCCACTGGGTTGTATATTATGTGGGTCATGTTAGTTACAGCGACTGAGAGGTGGAGAAGCGGTGTACCTGAGTATCGGTAAAAGGCAATAAATCTAAATTGAACGTTACAAAGCAAACAGCGGCAGTCAGGGCTAATGAAGTGTTAGCTGGCTGCTCTTGGCTGCATTACAATAGGACAGTAAACAAATCGCTCCACATTAGCTTTTTACCATTACATCATTTCTTGCAGGCTTTGACACTTTGACATAAAAGTGTTAAAGAGGAAAGTAACATGGGTTGCATTAGTTGGTGAAGTAATGTGAAATCAATATAACTTTGCACCGGACAACATTAGCAACTGCTTGGCGTTAGCCAGCGAGCTAATGCTATCTAACTTGAGCCAACTGAAGCACAAAATCAAAATATATTTTACATGCTTTGTAGTAATGTTTGCTTACCTGTCCAATAGGATGAAAGACAACTTTGGGTCTGTTTTTATACCCAAAACAAAGTGGAGGTTTCTCCATGATTCAAAAGCCCTGCCGATGTTGATCCGTGTTTTCGTCCGAAGTCGATCTGATTCACATTAGGCCTGACGAGCTTCAGCAGATAAAACTTTTTTTGTTTTTTATCCTTATGTGGAGTTTGTGTTGGAGTCTGTGTTGTGCTGGGAGCCGGTCGTTTCTTAGTGTTAGCGGACTCCATGTCGTAAGTTGCAGTGTCGTCGCTGCTGAGTGCAAAGTCAGTACAAAGCGAGAGCCTCGGGAGTGCGCATGCAGGTGTCAGTCACTGGATTTTGCAGAAAATCCGACCCGGAGCCTTCAAATAGGAATAGGAATACTTGCCTTCACAGTTAATAGCCAAACCCGGCAAGTGGATCATTTTAATGTCTGATTACAACCCTTCACACACAGGCAATAAAAAAAGGATTAATTTTAGTAGAAAAACTACATATAGCCCCTTTAAACTGATCAAGTTTACTTGTTGAAGTAGAAATATTTCTTTCAATGTTCTTCTGATCGGAATAGAAATGGATTTTTATCTGCTTAATTTATTATTTATTCAGATTGAGGGGCTGCAGGTTGTCAGAGATCAGCTGTGTTTCTCTGGCCTCAGCTCTGAAGTCCAACCCCTCCCATCTGAGAGAGCTGGACCTGAGTAACAACAAGCTGCAGGATTCAGGAGTGAAGCTGCTGTCTGATCTGAAGGAGAGTCCACACTGCAGACTGGAGACTCTGAGGTCAGTAGAGGGTTGGAGTCAGTCCATGCTGGTTTCAGCAGTATTGTACTAAACACAGTTAGTATCAAAGCAGAGATCCAGTATTTCCTGTAAACCTCCAACCTTCTCAGCGGCTGCTTTCCTCAGTGAAGCTGTGAGAGGAGAATGGTGACAGGCTTCAGGATTGGACAGAAAGACAGAGAGAGAGAGAACAGGCAGTGATCGTGTGTTTGAGTTGATGTGAAGGTGACTGTTGTTGTTGTGTTCATGTCTCCAGGAAATAAAGCTGGATTCCAGCTGACAGCATCACCAGATGTATAGAGACAGTGGTCCTCATTCATCAAACTGCCGGACCATCAAATCTGATCTCAAATTGTTTGTTCTCTCATTTCAACACTAAACTGTTGATCAGTTTATCTTTGTCACAGCTCTGAGATCAGACTGACTGAAGCCTGCAAATCACTGGCTCTTATTTCCATCTTTACATTTAGTAACCATGTGGTCTTTGTACAGACAGAAACCTCTGCTGAAGTCCAGTAAGCACATCTGATGTTTAGCTGTTCAGTCTTTGTATGAACATGTAGGACCTTTAACATCATATATATATATATATATATAAAATGTCTTTAGAACAGACTCCATATTTACAGATTTATCCTGTAATATTTCAAAAGCAGATGAAATATTCAAATGTGATTGAGCCGCTTGTTTTTAACAGCTTTGAGCCCTAACAGCAGTAAATCCATCATTACAGTGAGCAGTGAATTGTCTCTGTGTCTGCAGTCATGATGCGTTCAGGGACTCTCAGCACTTTATTTCCACTGTGTACTTGAGTGAAACCTGCAGAATAAACAGACCTGATGCCCAAAGTAATGGGATAAGAATGCATCCAGATGGAGAGGGAGAGAGGAGCTCAGTGCATCATGGGAAGTCTCCTAGCAGTCTAGGCCTATAGCAGCATCACTAAGGTCTGGTTCAGGACTCACCTGAGTCAGCCCTAACTATAAGCTTTATCAAAGAGGAAAGTCTTAAGCCTACTCTTAAATGTGAGAGCTGAAAGGAAGCTGGCTACGCTACACAGCCGCTCCACTTCTGCTCTGAACAGGACTGAAGTCCCTGCTGGTCTTTATGCTGGATGTGCTGCATCACTGACTGACAGCTGATGAAGGGAGTCTCTGTAAACTCTGATTTATGACTTCTGCTGTCTGTCTTCTTTTCTCATCAGCTGGACGCCATCTCTGGCAGAGTGTGAGGGATCAGAAAGGACCGAGATGAAACTACCGTGTCCTATGATGTAACTTCTTTGTTCACCTGCATCCCCACCATGGAGGCAGTAGAAACCATAAAGAAATGGCTACTACAAGACAACACACTGGACAACAGAACTAGCCTCAGCCCTGACCAGATCTGTAAATTACTCAACCTCTGTCTAAACACCACATACTTCCAGTACAATGGAGGTTTCCACAGACAGAAGCGTGGCTGGGCCATGGGCTCACCAGTATCCCCTATTGTTTCTAACATCTATTCTACATGGAAGAAGTGGAGAGCAACCCAGGAAGTACAAGCCTTCACAGAACACATCAACTCCGTGGACAGTAACATCAAGTTCAAACGAGAAGATGTCGACAACAACAGTTTGGCCTTTCTGGTCTGTGCTGTACACACTGAAGAGGACAGGAGCCTACAGATTGGAGTTTACAGGAAATCCACACACGGACAGTACTTACTGTTTGATTCCAACCATCCTCCCTGTGTGTTCCTCTGGATGTGACAGAGTATCATCAGTGGATCTGGACTGCTCTGCTGCTGCTTTGTCCTTCTACACAGTCTCTGCAGACACACTGAGACTCCTCCACTCCTTCTGCTGCACATTGAGACACCTCCTCCACCTGGACCTGATTTAGTATGTTTTTAATTCATTCAGATGTTCTGAACCCAAAGAGCCTCTGCAGATTAATTCTGTTTGTGACAACAGAACTGCAGATTAACTCTTATTTAAATCGACTTTTCCGCTTTGCTTTCTGCAGCTCCACCTTGTGGATTGATGGAGAATTGCAGTTAATTTATACATACAATTTAACAGATTTTGAAAACTCTATAAAAATGGCTGATAAATATATAAATGAATAAACAGAAAATATAACAAATTCAACAATCTTGAATAATATATAGCCTAATATATATCAGCCTTCGAGCAGCTCCTACCGCCAGAGGCGGAGTGTAGCACTCCCCCCTTGTACAGTCACCAAGTGTATGGATGCAGCTCTGAGCCGCTGAGGCTCCAGGGCATCCGTGTGCTGAACTACATTGAAGACCGGCCCGTTCTGGCCAGGTCTCAGGGGTTGGCTGTTCGGTATTGAGATGTCGTTCTTGGCCACCTTCAGAGTTTGGGGCTGCGGCTCAACACGAAGAAGAGAGTGTTGACACCCACCCAACGGACTACATTCCTAGGGTGGTATGGGACTCAACGTCGATGCGGGCCGAACTATCTCCTGCACGGGTCTAGTCCATTTTGTCCACGGTAACCGGGTGAAGCTAGGCCACACCATCACAGCGGAACACTTTCAGAGGGTGTTGGGTCTCATGGCAGCTGCATCCAGCATTGTACCTGCTGGCCTGCTACATATGAGAGCCCTGCAGTGGTGGTTGAAGACCAAGGGGTTCTCCCCGAGGGGGAACCCGTTCCGTCTGATACGGGTTAGGAGCAGTTGCCTCCGTTCCCTGTCCGTATGGAAAAAACCTTGGTTCTTGTCCCAGGGTCCCACGTTGGGGGCGCCATGTCGCTGGACAATTATTTCGACAGACGCCTCCCTCACGGGGTGGGGCACGGTCATGGACGGCCGCTTTTCGAGAGGATCCTGGCAGGAGCGTCATTTCTCGTGGCACATAAATTGCCAAGGTGCCGTCCAGTATGGCAGGGTCTACAGTGCTGCAGGCGTTTCATCCCCCACCTCATGTGACGGTGGAGGATGGGAGACTTCATCTGCCCTGTCAGGGCACTGAGTATTTACACTCTGAGGTCCTCCCGGTGGAGGAAAGCAGACCAGTTGCTGGTGTGTTTTGGGTCCCCAGAGGCTGGGCTCCCCGCTTCTAAACACACTATCAGCAACTGGATAGTTCAGACTATTTCCCTGGCCTATCAGGTGCCTTCACCTATGGCCGTGAGGTCCCACTCTACTAGAGGCATGGCGGCCTCTAGGGCCCTCCTCTCAGGGGCTTCTCTGAGGAGGATGTGTGTTAGGCAGCTGGCTGGGCCACTCCGCACACGTTCATCAGATTTTACAGTCTGGACCTTCATGTATAGCAATTGTAAGTCGCTTTGGATAAAAGTGTCAGCTAAATGAATAAATGTAATGTAATGGAAGTTGGCATATAGGATTCTGCTGTTAAAGTGGATCATTAATATGTTGAGATCTAGTTGGAAACTTCTAGTGAATTGCCCGTTTATGTAAAAACTGCAGCTGTTATTAATATTGTTCTTTTCTGGATCAATCTTATTTTCTCTGTCCTGCAGTTTCTGCTCTGTATAAGCAAAGGTATCTAGTCCTGATGTAGATGAATGCTTCTTTTCAGGAAATGACCTGGTTGTGCTTTTTATTTCTTCTTTCTTAGCTACTGGCTGTATTCCATCACCTCATTATCTTTTGTCTCATTGGTCCTGATCCGGCTCCTGCAGGTCCCTGATGACTAGAACTTTGGCTCGCTCCAGTCTTCCATTCAGCTTGATGAATATTTTGCAGTTTGCAGTCCATGTGGATTGTATTTTTTTCTGTCTTCTAAGGAGTCGGGCCTTTCTGGCGACGTCAGCGTCAGGTGTTCATTCAAATCCACATCCGGGCCCTTCAGCCGTCTTCCCTGTTTCAGCCGTTCACTTTGATGTTTCCTGTTGGCAAAACGAATGATTCTGGCTGGTTTATCCGTCTTGTTTCTACTTGAGAGAGGGTGAGAAGCCTCAATGTGGCCCCTGTCCAACTCAGTCCCCTTTGAGTGGAGGAACACCGTCACCTGTTGCTCCACCGATGGAGCCTCCTGCTCGCCCGCCCCCCCTCCGTTCAGCGTGGTCACCGCCCGTCTTATGAGCGGGTTTGGTCTACAAACCAGTGACTATGATGTCATTCATCCTGGTATATGATCCAGATCAGCCACCCGGTTTTCCAGCAACATAATCCGCTTGTCCTTCTCCATGTTTTGTTCTATTAGTCTGGTCGTGTTTGTCAGGGGTTGCTGACATGACAAACAGAGTTTAAAAATATAGCCGGAAAACTTTCCTCTTTATTAAACAATGGCATTCATTAGAAACAGGCTGCCTTTAATAAGGATTCAACTTAGTGTGTGTGTGTGTGTGTGTGTGTGTGTGTGTGTGTGTGTGTGTGTGTGTGTCAGTGGTGGACGAAGTATTCAGATCCTTTACTTTAGTAAAAGTACTAATACCACACTGTAAAAATACTCTGTTACAAGTAAAAGTCCTGCATTGAAAATGTTACTGCAGTAAAAGTATGTGAGTATAATCAGGAAAATGTGTTTAAAGTATTCAAAGTACTCACTGTCCTGTAACTGTTGTACTATTATATAGTAGATTCTTCTTCTTCCTCCTCGTTAATGTAAAGCAGGATTTTCCTGCTCTAATTCTTGAGGCTCATTTGAACTATTTAGTATCAGAGTGCAGCTTATCATTCTTTTCATTCTGGATGAATCTGCTGATTATTTTCTCCATTAATCGATTTAATCGATTGGAGTGAAGTAAAAAGTCGTCCCTGCCGCCCCGGACACAAACTGTTTCAGTCCCTCCCCTCCGGCAGGAGGCTGCGCTCCATCAGGACCAGAACCTCACGCCACAACAGTTTCTTCCCGTCTGCAGCGGGCCTCTTCAACAAGGCCCGGGTCCCCCACTGACTCTCATGGCCCCCCAAACCTCTCCCCCTAGGAGTCTAGTGGAGTCAACATATTGTTCTGCACCAATATACCAAGGCAAATTCCCTGGATGTGAAAATGTACTTGGCAATAAACCTGATTTGAAAAACCAGGGATCTGGACCCAAACACAGGACACGTAGGCAGAACAGCTACAGGTTATGGTGTTTAATATCAACAGGTGAAATCTGGTGAGGCAGGCAGTCCATAAGGCAATAAATCCAAGAGTCCACAATGAAAACAATAATCCAGGAACAGGCGAGACAGGCGAAAAGCAAAACACAAAATCCACAATAAATCCTCCACAGGTACAGGAGACCGG